GCCATTCAAAACCTTCAGCACTCTCAGACGATGCTGCTGTACTTGTCACTGGGGCTGGTGTAGCTGCTGTGCTTGCCGGCTCTCCCACCGCCAGCTTCTCTTTTCCTGAGTCCAGCTCTTCCTCCTCTGCCTTGCTGGGAAATGCTGCGTGGTCTCCTGCATCCTCCTGGGGCTCGGCGGGCGGCTTCCGGGAAATGCTCTCGGCCGTGGCGGGGCTCGGCTCCTCCGCGGGGCTCGGCTCCTCCGCCGCCTTTTCCCACTGCTCGGCAGCCGCTTCCTTCTGCTCCTCGACCGCCCCGACCTCCTCCACCGGCAGCCGTCCCCTCGCGGCCTCCGGCCCCGCTCCCGCCGCCGCTTGGTCCCCGGGGCCGCTCTCCCGGGCCGGTTCGGCTGCCGCCGGCTCCCGGGGCCGCTCCCCCTCAGCTCCCCGCAGCCTCACGAAGATGGAGAGTAGGGTGAGGGCCAGGACGGTGAAGAGCAGCCGGACGGCCAGGTACAAGCCCACGGCCACGTCCGTCCCGCCCTGCTGCTGGAGCCCGCCCGTATTACAAGCCATTGCCATAAAGCACAATGAGACAAGAACCTTAGCCCAGGCCCCACACTTGATAAACGCTAACACAGCAAATACCGGCTCTACGTAAGTTACAACATTCTGAAGCTGTGAGATCAAGAGAAACGACTCTGAGAGCCAATAAATCAGCATTGTGACGAATGACTATTAATCCGGTCAGATCTGTCGTTATCTCAACCCTTCGTGCCCCACGTTGGGCGCCAAAAAGAACAGATTCCAGCTGGAATTCCAGTTTGGGTCAGGTGTCCTGTCTCTGCTTCCTCCTGGCTTCCCTTCCTCCCTGGCAGAGCATGAGGCTCACAAAGTCCTTGGCCAAACCAAAACATCGCTTGTTATCAGCTCTGTTCCCGAGCTGAAAGTCAAAACACTGCACTGCACCAGCTACCAAGAAGGGGAAAAAATGACTGCTACTGCTGAACCCAGGACAGCGGGTTTGGCCAAGCATGGCAGAAAAAAGCAAGGGTTTGTTAAGGGGTGTCCTCAAACTCTTACCAAAATACATGCTGCTTATGCCTTGTGCCAGCATCTGTGACCTGCAATACCTGCCCGGAGTCCAGAGGATTTCCCCTCTTCTGTGTGCAGGGGTGCTCTTTAAAATCTGAAAGACGATAGTTAGCACTACTATAAACTTCTTCAAATGCCTGGTGCCTTCTGCACTTACATCAGTTTAGTATCTGAGCACGTATACCTCTTAAATATTTTAAGTATCATGGGAGCCCAGAGGGTAGGTCGATGCTCCCATCTGTCTTGCAAGATGTGAGGTGACTTTCCCAAGGTGATGCAAGTACCTTAGCAGTCATACAGCCAGGAGCTCATTGCCATGGATTTCAGTCCATTTTCCTTAAAACCAAAAGTCTCTCAGCAAGTAATTTGCCTGACCCAATCCAGTTTGGGGTGTTAAGGTTGTGATTAATCAGAGCCAGACCTTGTGTGGTCTGTATATACAGCATAAACAGAGCTGTTCTCCTAAACAAAATGATTCACTTTCACAGAATTTGTAAATGGAAGAAACTGTTGTGAACCACAGGCTTCCTGCCCACTGCAAGGTACTGCATGTCAGGAAGTAGCTCTGCATGGGGCATAATAACTTGTGCTTCACAAAACCCCCTTCTGTAAGAGAGGATCCAGCCCTGATCTGAAGCCCAAGGAATTGATAGTCTGCTGCCACCCGCAGCCCTTTGCTGCAGGGAACTCTCAGTCTCGCTGCTCCCATACTTGCTGCTTTCTAATCAGAGCTTCCCTGGCTGTGTCTTCCATTAATTCACCAAATCCCTGCCTCTGCCGAGTCCTCACCAGCATTTCCCTGTGAAGGTCAGTGTGTTGTGCAGGCAGACCACCCTCAGGTAGTTTTCAGGGCTGGTGGACCACACTGAGCTGCTAAAACCTGAACTGTTTCCTCCACCCTATTTGAATACCACTTTGGCTGTTTCCTGTGCAGCTCTAGTTTTCCAACGTTATTTTAAAGATCTGCAGTCCAGAACTGAACCTGTAATTTCATTTTTGCTCACATGTTCTTTTCTGAAAGGGTAAAATATCTCAGAGCAGTGTGCTATCCCTCCTTGCCACAGCACTGTGCTAGGAGGTCTGGCACACTGCTAGAGCCCATTGCCAGGTTCAGGCTTGTGGCACTCTGGATGCAGGCTTTCCTTTCAGAGGTATGGCCAGAACTTTTCATCCAGCCATCTTCAGCTTTAAATTTATATATTATGCATCTTCTGGGGTTTTGTTATTGTTTTCCCTTCATTATTTTCTCCACCAGTGGTGGGGGAGCTTGTCTTGATTTGTTGTCCTTTTTCTCAGCTCCTCAAGCTGCAGTGGTTTGGATCTCTGTATAACTGTGCTGTCCTCATCCCTTTCTCTGCCAGTCTCAGTTATCAGCTGCAAATTTTGAAATGCTTATTTCCATCACTGATGATTGACACTCTGGAATGTCACTCTAGATATTGTGATTTGATGGTATTTTCCTGTTTACAGGTACAACGCTCAAGCATTGACCTTATACCTTACTCAAGGGCAAAGCTGAGTATGTAATTTAGGACACTGAAGACAGAACTAGTGGGGTCTGGTGAGGTGAAAAGGGAGGAGTTCACTTACATCCAGGCTATTTACATGGGTGGTTTGATCTGTTCTATTTCCAAGAATGTATTGAATGTGCCATTTTTTGTGTCTGAAATAGTAGCAGAATAACCTAGTGGCTACTAAGGTAATGAGAATCCACCATTCTCTAACCAATTCATGTAAATAAAGTATGGAATTTAATTTTACCCTGTGTTACCTGAGGCAGCTCTGGTATCTGATGAAACAACTGATCTTCACATTCTCCTCTTCCCTCCTGATTTTCACTGAAATATTGAGATGTTTCTCTTTGTGTAAATAAATGTGGCTGCCCTGCAGATGGCAGGGTAGAAAGCAGCCTCAGGATTACATCTTTTGTCTTGCAGCTGGCTTTCCTCAGTGACTCAAAATGTATTTGTCTTCATGCTGAAACGCTTCTATTGCATGTGATTAGGGTTGAGGATTTGACACCCATAGAGTTCCTCTTTTTTTCTCTTGAGACACAACTTACATGTTTGGCATCTGTGCTTGTGCTATGATTGCAGGCATAGCACGAGTGTGCATCCCAGATTAATTTCTTAATAAACGGGAGGAAGGATCCTTTCTGATTGTGTATCACAAAGCAATATGGTGAAAACATGGGTTTGCAAACACTGACACCAGTAGGTGAATGGGTGAGAGACTTACCTGGGGAAATGGTTATCGACAGGGACTGTCACTGGCCTTGGGAATGCAGGCAGCAAACAACAAATCCGAAGGAACTCTGACCGCTGTGCAACCAGGCAACACTACACCTTGGAGCATCTTGACTTTGTAATGGAAAAAGAGAATCCATATCAAGCTACTCAGCAGCTAATCAATCACCCGAGTCCATCAGGCTGGGCAGGGAAGATTGTATGTCTCATGTACACAAGGGGGAAGAAGCAGCAGTTTGGGCACGGGATGGAGTTGTGCTTGAAGTAAGGGGATCTATTGAAAGAGAAAGGCATCTTGTTTGCTGCATTATGGGCCTGTGGAATAGTGCTGCTGGTTTTATATGCTACAGATTGTGAACAAATTAATTTCTTAACCATGTTACAGTGATATCAAGTCATGGGTCAGTCATGAATACAACCTGTCACATGGGGTATTTTAGCCTAATAGCCATTGGCACATGAAGACTTCATGTTCCAGTAGCCTATCTGCTCAGAGAAGAGTATCAGGGAAATGAAGTGGACAGCTGGCATAATATACGGACACTTGAACCCGGAAACAAAAAGACAGCTGCTGGATCTAATTTTAAACAAGTCTTGATCAGATCCATCTAGATCCCTGTTGTCCTGATACGGGAAAGTCACTAGTGAGAGCAGAGAGGTGTGAAGTTGAAGATACGGGTAAAAAGCTTTTGTGAGAAGGGGAATCGTCCTCTTGCAGTTATGGTATTTCCATTTCTCACAGTGAGTATTGTCAGCTTACAGAAAATGTGAGTGGAAAGAGCTCCGGGCTGGTCTAAGGCTGCTTGCACTGGCAGCTTTTCTGGGCTGGCTTAACGGGCAGTGGGACAGGCTGTCCCGTGAGCACAAAGGCAGGCAGCGCTGCTTCAGATTAGGAAACCGTGTGATAGTATGTGGGGGGTTCTAATATTTTAAAATAATATAGGTTACAGCCTCGGCCAGGTTTTAATTCTGAGTTTTACGTCAGGTGTCCGGAATGCAACGGGCATTAGCAGCGGCCTCGAGTGCCATCTAGTGGGGCTCTGCGAAGCTAGCTTGGTTTCGGTTTGGTTTTGTCAGGTACAAAAATAACCCCAAGTGAAGTTGCATTGGTATAATTCTTCGTTTAAGATGAGGAAATCTGACATCTTATTAATTCAGCAGCTGGACAAGTATTTTCGATTTTGGTTTTGCTTTCAGAATGCTATCATCAAGTTGGTTTTTGTTTGTTTGTTTTCAAGGAATCATAGAATAATAGAATGGTTTGAATTGGAAAGGACCTTAAGATCATCAAGTTCCAACCCCCTGCCATGGGTAGGCATGACTCACACTAAACCATGTCACCCAAGGCTCTGTCCAACCTGGCCTTGAACACTGCCAAGGATGCAGCATTCACAACTTCCCTGGGCAATCCATTTCAGTGCCTCATTACCCCTACAGTAAAGAACTTCTTCCTTATTTCCAATCTAAACTTCCTCTGTTTAAGTTTCTGTGTTGAACTCTCAGCTTTCCTGTGTCCTGTATAACTGGATTCTGTTCTTGTTGATTCAACACAAAGGCTTTGAATTGATGGCTACCAAGGATGGTTTATTTCTAATATTCTACCCTGTGTTTGCTTATGTGTCCTTTCGAAGCACCCATTTCTGTGTGTGCCTCCCATCTAATGCTCTTACTGTTCACAGGCAAGTTCAGAGGTACCAAAGCTGCGAAAGGAAGACCAAAAGGCACGGAATGCACTCTTAGCTGATATCCAGCAGGGAACTCGCTTAAGAAAAGTGACTCAAATCAATGACCGCAGCGCACCACAGATTGAGAGTAAGTGTGTGGTCCTGAGCAAGGTCCTGGGTGAGCTGCACTCAGTTGTGGAGGTCAGCTGAAGGGTGTTCAAAATGAAGGGCAGGTTTGAAGTTCAGGAAAAGGCTGCATCTTCACAGGGCTTTAGGGTGCAGACAGGGGACACTTTCTAAACTTGCATCCTGCTTGAAGATCAGTTAACTATCAACACTTCATAACAGCTCTGTAACTGATCACCCTAACAGGGATTCCTCATCCCAGAAAGATCACAAATGATGAAATCTTTGAGAGTTTCTTAATAAAATGTTTAAGTGGGAATTCTTGGCTCCAGCAGAAATGTTTACTAATTCTTTACTAATAAGAACAAAAAATAACAAGGAAATCTGGAAGCATAAATGTAATGCTGGCTAACACAACTTTTCTGGTGTCATTACTGATGTGAGATTAAAAAGCACCAAACAGTACTTTCTCCAAGATATGGGTCGGAGAGTAATTAATGGCAGTTTACTGTATTACCAGTAACTTTCCTTTCTGAGTGCTTAAAGAGGGAAAAGTCTGGTCTTGGCTATGTTTGGTGCCGAGTTTAGCAGTGTGAGGATGAAGTGACTTCCTGATATACCCTGGGTTTTTTGTTCTTTTTAACAGAACCCAAAGGAATTAACAGAGATGCAGTTAACCCAGCTGTTAACAAAAGTGGCCCTCAGCAGCCCCTGGGAGGCTTATTTGCAGGTGGCTTTCCTGTCCTCAGACCAGCAGGCCAGAGGGACATGTCAGGTAAGGGCTTCATTTGTATCTAAGAATAGATGGGGCGGAAGTGTGATTTGGGGTATAAGTACTTTGGCGTGAGATTTATTGATTTCTACTGGGGCTTTTTCTGAACCCTTAGTTCATCATGTACCCATGGAAGGCTCAATTAATAATGTGCTTAAAATCATCTTTCTAGACCTCAGCTGCCTTATTCCTTAAAACACAAATAATGAGCTGTCTCTGCATGGGGTAGGAAAGAGATTGAATAGATTGTACAGAATTTTGAGACTTTTTTATATTAGTTTAATGAAAACTTCTAACTGCGCCTTGAATATTGAAATCTGAGCTTATCAACTTCAGCACAAATGGTAGAGCAGTCCTATTTCCCTCTCTCCATTAGTGTGCATTTCTATGTTATTACAAGCCTGTGTGTTACTTTAAAGATCTGTATTTAAGATTTTTGCCCTCTGGCTTTTATAAAGCACACCTTTGAGCCAGAAAGGTAGCTTACTGACCTGACAAAGAAGGTTCTTGCTTCACAAAGGCAGGAGGGAGGCATATGTGGGAGCCCTACTGCTGCTTTCACCTCAAGAAGCTCCAGCATCAGTAAGGGGTGACTTGTAGAGTGGCAGAAAATGGCCCCTGGCACTGCTAGGCAGCTGGTGCCTGCTCAGGCAGCACAGAGCAAAGCAGGTATGTGCAGGGAAAGGCAGATCTTGGCTCCACATCCAGGGTTGGTTGTTTCTTCCTGGAAGGCAAACCCAGGATGCACAGCATTGCCTGTGCTAGGGCTTCCTCATATAGCATCAGCTGCAGTAGCTGCTGTGAGTTGTTGAATAGTTTCAATGACCATGCCTATCAGACTATGTAAATATAGAATTGATGCCTTTTTTGACATCTTGCTTTGTGAAAAATCCTTAACATTTAATCAGCAAAATACGTTTTGTAAGGTCAAGTGTTTGGGCATTTGCTGTTGAAAAGCAAACATCTGAACCTGTGCATTACGGGAAGCCTTTGGGCCCTGCTTTTAAGACCTTGGCTTTTATCCGTGGGATTGAGATTCATGTAAAGTTGGTGTGAAGTTTTTAATCGTAAGTGAGCACTTCAAGGGTTCAAGTTGATGCATGTCAGTCTACTTGTGCTGAGGCCTTTTCTCTAGGACCCTCAATTCCTTCAAGCAGACGGCCCATCCGTGTTCAGGAGGCTGTACCAGGCGCATGGGGCTGGTATGAAGATCCAGGCCTCTGCAGGAAAGCCACTTCTTAAACTGTTCCATTTTGCAGAAACTGACGAGCAGGCAGGAGAGCAGAGTCCCTGGCGCTCACTGGAAGCTACCACCTCCTAAACCCCCTCACACCAGGGGCAACATGTTGGATTATGAGGTGTTTCGGGAGAATTAGTCACTCGGGGTCACCACTGGGGAGGGGAAGACGAAGAGCTTGCCCTGTGCAGTGTGTTGCCTGAGGAGCGGGATCAAAAAGCCAACGTATAACGTGTTACCTGTTTTCCAGCTGGGAAGCCCGGGCAGCTCCCTGGCATCCGTCCAGCGGCTCCCAAGCCCGCTGCCCCACCGAATAGCAGCGCTGCCAAGGCGAGCAGCGTCCCCTCGCATCCCACCGAAGGCCCCAGGGCACCTGCTCCACCAGACCCCCCCAGCGCCCCCCGAGGGCCCGGCACCGTGCCCGGGCGGCCCAGCCTGCCGGCACCCCCTCCGCCGCCGCCTGCTGCCAGCAAACCTTCCCTCACCTTCCCCCCTCCTCCCGCTGTGCCCCCCCCAGCAGAGCGCCCTCCCAAGGGGGTGTCCCCCAGCGCAGCCCCTCCTCAGCCTGACAAACTCACTAAGCTTCAGGCAGGTGCTCCACACGCACCCCCTCCACCTCCTCCTCCTCCTCCTCCTCCTCCCCTGCCCTTTGTGCCCCCCTGCGGGTTTCCAAGCAGGACAACCGATTTCCCTGCTGCTGCTCCCACCCCGGCTGAAGGCAGGGATTGTCTGCCCCCCACCCCGCCTCCTCCCCCGCCCCACGCGCACCCCCTGACCTCCAACAGGCTCTCCTTCCCACCCTCCCCAGCCTTTAACAGCGCTCCCGGCAGCGCTGACGTGCCCCCGCCGCTGCCCCCCAAGTCTCCCAACCTGCTGTCCCAGCTCCACAAGCCAAGCAGCATCCAGTCCTTGCCGCTCCCTCCCACCCCCAGCCTCCATCAGCCTGTAGCAGCGGTGGCACCAGAGACCAGGAAGAAGAGGCCCGGCCGAGGCACAGGTGAGAGCACCATGCTGGAATGATGGAAGATAGGGGGGCTTTTCCTTCCCTTTGGCCAGTCATGGAATTGCACTGGTGTCTGGAGACCTTGGAGGGGTGAGGTGAGGAGCAGAGACAGCTGAAGGATGAGGTCCATGGCATGGGAGGAACACCGGTAGCTTGAATGGCGTGCATGTGAGACGTCAGGTTCTTCTTAGCCCTGGGCACATGTGCCATATAGTTTAACTGTGATTCTTGGAAGCAACATGCTGATCAGTGAAAGCAACGTCTGAGGACCGCTGCTTCTTGCCTTTGTGTTGGCATTGCTGCATCTCCAGCAGTCTCCTAACAGTCTCCTAACACTCTTAGGTAGGGCAGTGGAGTGCACACCACCGTGTCTGCCCCATCTGCAGTTGCTCAATCACCAGCCTAGCCATGACATCTGTCTACTGCTGTACTCCTGCAGTCTGGAGCAGTATCGGCATGGCTGGGGAATGTCACAGGAGAGAATAAAAAGATGGGGCAGCTCCAGCCATAGATGAGCAAAGGCAACACAGGTGCAGTCCTCTGCTTTTCAGAAGAGGAGCAGGCAGTGTCTCCTGTGATGAAGGCGATGGGGCCAAAGGTTTCTCCGACTACTTGGGGAGCAGGGATATGAGCTGTAGTGTGCCCTTGAGCAGATGGAGGGCATTTATCAGACTTCTCTGATCTAATGAAGATAATTAAAAAAAAAATGAGGCTAGATCTGTGTGGGCTTGAGAAAAGGAGACAGAGCCTTAATAAGGCACATCTGAGCAGAATGTTCTGTACCCTGTGCTTCAGCAGCCACAGTCGAGGGAAAGATTACTGGTTCCCTTTGACAGCCCTGGGAAAGGCCGTGTGCAGGTCAGGGGCTTCCTGATGGGGGTTAATGCTGCTCAGGAACTGTCTGCTGAGCCATGGTTTTATTGAGCTATCTATACTACATGGTGGCTCAGCTCTCAAGGTTTCCATCAAATTAGCCTGCCTGTCTCCTGGCTGCCCAGGGGGAGCAGCAGGTTGCAGAGGCCTTGGGCTCCTTCCCCCTTACACAGTGCCCGTGGTAGGTGTGCCCAGAAAGTACAAACTTTGATGGCTCTTGCAACTGGTCAGTGAAATGCACAAGAACAATGGTAGTATCGCTGCATGGCTGGCAGGGTGTCAGGAAATTGTTTTCTTTTAGAAATACCATTCAGCAGGGTTGGATTGGCTTGGGTTTTTTTGTTTTCCGTAAAGAAACTGCTTGTTCTTGTGAAAGTGGAATGAGAGTCTTCACCTCCGAACGGGACTAAACCACACTGCAGAACGTTGGACTTTCCTTAGAACTAGAACTAGCATAGTGACTTTAATACTTAATGCTCTAAATCCACGGTCAGGGTTGACAAACAACAGCTATGGAGCTGGGTATGTTTGCCCCCAGTATTGTGTTCCTTCTACACTTCCCCTCCTCTTCTGCAAAGCTTATGCTCGGTTTGTTAAGTCACAATGATGTTTATGCGCTGGTCTGCTATTGCTTTTTCAGGAACTGGTGCTGGGAAGCTAGTCACACCTCCACAGCCACCAGCAAGGTCACCTACAACTGAGCTTACCAGCAAGTCTGGAGTCTCAGCCTGGGCTGCAGCTCATGACCCCTACCCACCACTTAAAAATGGAAACATGCACATCATCGGTAATTTCCTCTAAATCAGATCTCTTAGCCTTAGTTAACAACTTCAGCACAAAAGCCTGTATGTCTCAGACCTCAAAAAGTCAGTCAAGACTTTCTCACAGCATTAACAGGGTAGTATAACCAGAGCCATTAGAAACATTTTTGTACAACCTTATATAATAAGGGAAAATTTAGGCTTTTCACGCAGGCTTTGAATCATCGAGTAGACAAGAAAAGCATGAGCTACCTGAAGAATTATTTAAGATTGTGAAAAGTTGCCATAATGTCCTTATATTACTATTCTTAAAACCAGTTTGTGGATATTTAGCAGCTTCAGTACTATAGAGCAAAGACTGATAAGAATTATTTTTGTGGTCTGGTGAACTGGCCATTCATTCACAGCTAAATGGCTTGAAAACCACCTAGGAATTACCTCTGTACCGCAGTATCATCAATGCAGGAAACTGGAACTGCAGCCAGGAGCTTAACTTCAGTTAGTAGCAGGCAGTGTTTGCAATTAACCCAGAAAACTTGGATGGCTCACAGAAGTACTCACCAAGACTGGTTATACAGAATGAGCCACTATCAATTCCAGGGGAAAACAAGTCAGCATTTTAAACTGAAATGACTTGTGGCATTTTTATTATTATTTTTAAGTCTGTCTCTAACAGTGACTGATGTCTATTTCTCTGAAACTTCCCAGATGACTTTGAATCTAAATTTACTTTCCATTCTGTGGAAGATTTCCCCCCACCTGACGAATTCAAGCCATTTCAGAAAATCTATCCCAGCAAGACAGCTAGAGGTAAGTGTGTAAACATGAGAAGATCTGATAATTATCCAATAGGACTAGAAGCAGGGAGTGAAAATAAAGAACAGAAAGCAGCATTAACTTGAAGAAGTGGACTGCCAGCATAGGCACAGAGAGTAATGGGATTTGTTACAGTGGTAACAGGGACCAAAGACATAATGAAAAGCTCTTAATTAATTAAAGTCTTAGGAGCTAAAAATAAAATTATGTGGCTTGGCATGCAGGCTGTGTTCTGTGGAGTGTTGAATTTGCAGAGCCCTTAATGTTAAAAACAGTGGTGTCACATAAGCAGACTTAGGCAGATACTGAGTTGGGTTTTTTTTGTTCATGAACTTGTAAAATCACAAAAGAAAGGTGACTTGATCAGTGTCATCCATCACATGTTTTGAGTTAAATCCTGCACATGGTGTTTTACATACCTGAGTAACAAGAGGACTTAGTACCTGAGCCTTGTTGGGAAAGTAATGAATGACTGAACCTTGCTTCTCCTTTAATTAAAAACTGGGTATCAGGTCACTGTGGTAAGAGCAGAAGTTCACCTATCCAGCTTTGAAAACTGGTAGTTAAAGGTGCTGAAAGCTCTCATGCCTATATTGTGCTTTTTATAAACCCCTGCCTTTTCCATATTGTTAGCTCCAACTATTTATCTTCAACTTTAAAGTTGAAAGGGATTTTTCTCTTTCCATGTCAAGGTACTTTGCATGACTTTTCATAGCAGCCTCTGTCAGTCTAAATTGTCTGCTGTATGATCTCATTAGAGACTTTTCACTGAAGGGCTACAGAGCATAAGCAATACATGTCTGTATATATATGTCGATATGTATCAGTTCAAGGATTAGATATAAATGCAGCATCCCTGCTGTAGAACTGTGTCCAAAATACATACCCCAAAAATGTATCTATCTCCTCTGATTAAACCTCTCCTATCTATTTACAGATCCCTCCAAAAATCCTCCATTAAGAACACACGTTAGATGAGAAGAGTCTTTTGATGCTCTCTGGATTCAAAAAAGAACAACATCAAGATAATATCTGAAACAGAGGGGTTCCCATTACAGTGATAGAGATTGTATTTGATTTGCAAGTGCTGCGCTGTTAACATTCTATAGACTGGAACAGCAATGTACATCATGCTTTTTGAACTGGACTACATACTACAGGAGTGTTAGTAACAGCTTTTAAATTACTGTATATAGGTGGATACTTTTTAAGAAAAGCAGCATAAAATTGAAATTCTTTGTAGTGTTGAAACAATTCTCAATCATGCTGACACGTTACCTCAGGATACTTTTTTGCAATACATGCCTGGAGTTAATTTTTCCCCTTCCATCATAATTTTAAAGTATCTTGGAAATTCTCCAGTTATTATTCAGCCATTTTTCAATGAACTGCCAGAAGCTAACATGCTACCTTTAGTCTCTTTGTACGGTCCTTTATTTCTTCTATTCTGCCTATCCTCAGATCGCAGCAGAATATCACTTTCATGAACAGATGGGCCCACAATCCTCTTCTCATCAATCATGAAGAGGACAGAGATGACCAGGAGCTGTGGCTGCTGTTGAGCCTACCTCCTATTGAATACAGATCCTTATAGGATAGTGCCTGAAGAAGCCCAGCTGGGTAGGGTGGTCATGGACTTGACTTGAGAAGGAAGATGGAAATTTTCCAAACTGGAAGAAAAGAGAAGTTGTTCTACTGTAAGCAAAAAAAAAAACCCAATGGTGTGTGTGAATACACATGCTATGAAGTATGTATGTAAGGGCAACTGTCCTGTATTTCTGGCTGGCCAAATGGTTATTTACCATTTTGTGTGATGGACTGTCTTTACCCAGCAATTAGGAGGCCTTTGGATGAGTGGTCCAAAGCCTACATTTTAAACAGGCAACTAGAGCTACTACTGTTCACACAAGGCAGTGAGGATTCATTGTCCAAAATACACCATGTGGAGCAAGCACTCCCCAAAGATAGAGTTGGCTGAAAAAAGGTAACAACCTACAGCAAAGACATGAGCTTCTGCTTTTCATATGCAGCCTGGGGTAAGGTCTTTGGATTGCAGAAGTTCAGGTCTGGTCAAAAGCAATCTATTCCCAGCACAAATTACTCTTGTGCATTTCACTGCCTAAGTGATCCTTACCCTTCACTCAGCACTGGTGAGACCACACCTGGACTTCTGTGCCCGGTTCTGAGTTCCTCAGTACAAGAGATATGGACATGCTGGAGAGAGTCCTACAAAGGGCACTAAGGTGACGCAGGGATTGGAGCATCTCTCCTATGAGGAAAGGCTGAGAGAGCTGGAACTGTTTAACCTGGAGAAGAGAAGGCTCAAGAGCATCCCATCGAAGTGCATAAATACCTGAAGGGAAAGTATAAAGGTGAATCCAGGCTATTTTCAGTGGTGCCAAGTGGCAGAACCAGAGGCAGTGGGCACAAAATTGGAACACAGGAGGCTCCGCCTGAACATCGGGAAACACTTTGTGATTCTGAGGGTGACTGAGCACTGGCACAGGTTGCCCTGGGGGACTCTGGAGTCTTCATCCTTGGAAACACTCAAAAGCCATTTGGACACAGTCCTGGGCTGCCTGCTGTAGGTGACCCTGCTTGAGCAGGAGGGTTGGATCAGATGACCTCCAGCCATCCCTTCCACCCTCAACCACTCTTTGATTCCCCTTCCTACAGAAATTGCTGGACTTGGGTTACAACAACCCCATGCAGGCTTGGGGAAGAGTGGCTGTGGCTGGAAGTTTACTTGGTCCTGGTAAGGCTGCACCCTGAATAATATGTTCAGGTTTGGGCCCCTCACTATGAGAAAGAAACTGAAGTGCTGGAGTGGGTCCAAAGAAGGGCAATGAAGCTGATGAAGGGTCTGGAGCACAAGTCTGATGAGGAGCAGGTGAGAGAACTGGGGTTGTTTAGTTTGGAGAAGAGAAGGGGGGGGGGGGGGAAATCTTATCACTCTCTACAACTACCTGAAAGGAGGTTGTAGTGAGGTGGGAGTCAGTCTCTTCTCCAAAGTAACAAGCAATAGGACAAGAGGAAATAGCCTCAAGCTGCACCAGGGGAAGTTTAGACTGGATATTAAGAAAAATTTCATCACTGAAAGGGTGGTCAAACATTGTAACAGGCTCCCCAGGGAAGTGACTGTAACTCAAGAGGTGTAGATGTGGCACTTAGGGACATGGTTTAGTGTGGGACCTGGCAGTGCTGGTTAACAGACTTGATAATCTTAAAGGTCTTTTCCTATCTAAACAATTATGATTCACCAGCCTTAAAAGGGCACTGCTGTTCCAGGGTGAGCCTGGTGCCAACAGTCAGGCTATTTACACTTATGGCATTAATTTATATAATTGCTATAAATTCCCCTCAGTTACAACTGTAATAACATTATAAATCACAGGTAAAGATATTTCCCCATTGCCATGCCTTTGAACAAAACTATTGGGAAAACACAGCTAACTGTGTCTTCACATATCTCTGCTCTTCTCTTAGTTCTTGCGGCAGCTCATCTGTGCTCTATCTCTTACTCACATACATGTGCATGCTCATAGGGTGGAGATGGTGTAAGGGTAAGCAGCTCTTCACCTGCAGGCCTCTAAGAAAGCATCATTAGTCTTTTCCTAGCCTATTATGATACCTTGCTGTACATCATGTGAAAAGAAAAAATTAAGTGATGCTTTGACCAATACTTACTGTCACTGTCATTATTATAGTTACTTGATAAATATGCATGAATATAGTAATAAGCAGTGGCCAGCACATACACTGCTGCTGAAACACCCAGTACCATTTATTACTGCTTTGATGAATATTTTGTTATAGTACTATTAAAGGTGACTTATTGTTGGTTCTCATTTGTTCTGGAACTTGTGTACTGCTCTGTAATAAGTACCATCATGAGGATTTTACAGCTCCTTAATGCTAGATGACCTGCCAGGAGATAACTAAAGGAAAAAAAAATTTTACTCCTGTTTTTATTACGATTAGATGCAAACATCATCTTTCAGGGATTAAATCAAAAAGGCTGTGCATATTTGGAAGCATTGGTGTAATGTTATTCCCTTAATATACTAACTGTTGTTCAAGATCCACTGAAGCTTCTAAGTTGCTATAACCTGGAGATACAGAGAATCACAGCAGCCGTCACTTCCAGTAGTCCCACTCTGTCCTTCCACTAAGCCACTGCTGCACTCAAGACTACTGGTAGTTTTAAGGGTATGTGAGTGCTCTGGTTTCTCAAACTTGTAGAACCAGTGGTGGCTGAAGCAAAAGAAACATATTACTAGAAAATTAGTACCTGGATCACTGTGCTCAAAACAATTTATTAGTTCTGGCATAAGCAGTTCCAAATAAGGACATAAATTCCCACAAGATAATTGCAAACGTTGGTTTCTTCTTTCTTAAGAAACAAGCAAATAAGATATAGTACGGTTTTAGCAGGAACGCATTCTTTCATCTTGCCTCCCTCCCACCTCCCAAAGGTTGCAGATCCAAGTTGTGCAAAAGACTTGTGTGAAGTGGTATATCCTGATCTGAACCCTCTAGACGGGTCAGTCATTTTATCCCTGTTCTCCCCTTGTTCACAAACATCTAGTGCGACTCCTATCAGGATGCAAAGTGCGCAGCAAGCAACAGTTTAAAGCAGGAGCTTTTAAGTTCAATATGATATGTGTTAGATGTACTCTGACTAGTAGTATTTTCATTTGAAGCAGCCTTTCATTCCAAAAGTGGATTTCATGGGAAATCCATTTACTTCGGTGGACGGTGTGCATATAGCACAACACATTCAGAAATGAAGCACAGCCCTTGCAGACCCTATTCTGGCCAGGCAGATAGAAGCTTAATTTTAGGGTTACCTTGCCTATTTTCTCCTTCCCTTGTTTCCATTTTCATAATACCAAGGCACAGGAGTTGCTCCTGCAATAGAGAGTGTGGGAAGAGTGAATTGTGAGTGGGAAGATTATTAGGTAGGGCATAAGAGAAAGTATCTTCATGCTTGTTTTTCCTAAGTGAGAAGGCTCAATGTTTTCTTGTCCAATTGCCAGTTGTCAGGTAAGGCAGCACCAAAGCAATGAGTTTGAATGGAAAAATTTCATTCCAAAAACTTCTGAGAACTAAATGTGCCAATATGGCTATGACTGTTTCCCAAATGCACAACTCTCACAGTATCAAGGTGAGGTGTTGCTGCCTCCTAAGGAGCTTTTATTTCCCCAGTAGAGAAATCCATGGTTCTTCACAATCCCCTTCCCTGAACAGTGAAGGACTTTAATGCCATAAACTAACTTCCACTTATCAAAGATATGGAATTCTTGTCTGAACCTCCTGTTAAAAAACAAAAAAAATCCATCTTTGCATGACAGGAAACAGCGGTCACTGGTTTAATTCTTAAAACTGTTTGCCCTATCTCATTTCTACAAGAGGGAAACACATGAAAAGCAGTTCTATCTGCAGGACTGTCAAGGAAGGGAAGCATGCTGCAGAACCACACTTATCATAAGGAAGCGTAAGACAGACATTTCTAAGCCTAACCAGCTGGATTGCCACAACCACCAGTAACTCACTGGTACCTCCTGGATTCACTGGCCATGTATATGCACAGAGATTATGAAGAACTGTATAAAAGCAGAAAGACGGAGAATAGTCAAGTGTTACTGTTCAACGTCCAGCATCTATTCCCTAAAACAATTCCAAATTTGTAGCTTGTATATAAATATGACATCTTATTAATTGCACCTTAAGAGTCAATAGGTTATATACAGATGTCTTAAGCATCTAGGCTGGCTCTGCATTTCAGTGCTCAGCACTACAGCAGCAGCCAGGTGCATTACAAACACAAGCTTCCTTAAGTCGGGTGCAGGTGAAGGCAAAACGTAACCTGGGGGACCTAATTCTGCTCATTTGTACAGGCATAGCATCAGAAGCAGAGCTACTGTAACCAGATATACCTATCTGAGGCCAGTACAGCAAGGTCAAGAACCAGGACTTACCTTCCTGCCCCCACAAAACTGGGATTTCAACTCTGCCATTCTTTGTATGAATTAGCAAGAGGAAAACGCGAGTCAGCTTTGCTGCAAGCCTAGTCCTGAGCAACAGAGGCAAACCAGATTGCTTTCAATGATGATATGGCAGTTAGCCTGATGAAGTTAATCTTTGCTTTAATTGGTTGCCCAACATACATATTTAAACATTCTGTACTAAATTAGCCAGCATGCACAAAGTAATTGGACCAGTCAGTGACTTTCTCCTTTCACTATATACATACACAAACAGGAACACCACAAGATTGGACAAAGAAAAGCAATTTGTTAACCAGATACAGCTAGCAAGTAACATTTTTTTTTCCTCTAGAAACGTTTTCCTGCAAATTCACAGGTGTAAAGACTTTCTTTCAAGGCCTGAAGAACTTTGCAGTCTTCCAGTGAAAAGGCTAGCAATAGCCACCGTAGCTGAAATGAGATAAAATTCATTTAAAATCCATTCCAAGCAAGAGTGAAATTGAGAAAAATAAAAACTGCCTGCAATGCAACACAGGGAAAAGGAACTCCAGGGACAATGTGGGCAGATGCATTGAGGTAGAAAGGTGGCTTTGGACCTGATTCTGAACACTCTTAGCTTAGTGCTAAAGAGAAGGAGGAGGATTGGAATCGGATCCAACATTTCACATTCACTGGTACTTGGCAGCAGAAACTCAGTATCTAAAGAATTGGAAGTGTTTGCTTACTTTACTTGAAGAACTTTAGTTCTGTGTCAACACAGTCATAGAAAAGATCCACTACTTCAGCAGGATCCAGAACCTCTGCACGGGTGAGGATATCTTCCATTGCTTCTAACCCTTGTCTTTCAAGGTCTAACATAATCCTCATCAGTTTCTGGCCTTTATCCTATGGGCATGAAACAACCAAACTTAATTAACCAGGAAACAGACTCATTAAAGCATTTTACTGTTCTATTATGGAGATCTTTCCAAGTATTTTTAAAGATGAGAAAATCTTTTTAAGTACAAATTATTCCAGTGAACAGGGTTTTTTTTAATGGTTAAAGGCTAAAAGGAACAGTGCTAGACACCTTGCGCATTAAGAAAAATAACCAAAAAGGAGTTGCTGATTTTAAAGTAGAGAAGGCAG